GGGGAACAGAGATTTCTTGGCTTTCTTTCTTCTTCTTCTTTTTTTTTTTTTTTTTTTTTTTTTTTTGGTCTTTTTCAGTCAGAGTTTTGCTATGCATTTCAGGCTGGCCTTCAACTCCTTATGTAGCCCAGGCTGGCCTCAAACTTGAAACAGTCCTCTTGCCTTAGGCTTCCAAATGCTGGGATTATAGGCATCTGCCACTACGCCTGGCTTCCATGACTCTCTAAGGTGTTACATGAACAAAAACAAAATCTTTGTTGTTTTACACCATGAAGATCATTTTGATAGTTATTGAATTATTAATGACATACTTGGCAGTAAAGCATATAGATACTGCTGGACACTTATATATTTTTGTTTATACTATAATGATTGAATATTTGAAAAATTGTCAAGGTTACATTTTTGGTTTTTTTATTTTTTATTTTTCTCTGACACTAAAGATTGAATCTAGGACCATGTGCGTGCTAGGCAAGCACTTTACCACTGCCCTGGTGTTTTTACTTTATATAAATGGAATGAATAGTGCTCTGTTGTTGCTTATGTGTTGTTATAGAACATGTGTAAAAAATTACAAGGAGAAGGCTTTGTAAGGTGGCAAGCCTGCAGGAGACATACTGAGTGGATTACATGATGGCACTTGGGAGGGAGGTGATAAAGATGCTTAGTTTCTTTCTATTCATCCTTTTTGGTGAAGAATAGTATTAAGCAGTACTTTTCATTTTCAAGAAAAGAAGAGCTCTGTTAGACATTGGCTCCTTATGTTTTTACACAGATACTCATTTAGCTATCATACATATATATAGCTCCAGTATTATATAGTATTTGTTGTGTAGAAATTCACTGTGCCAGATAGTCCTCCCAACTGCTGAAAGATCTGACTTCTATTTATAGGCTCAGAGAGTTTGTATGTATGTGCACACTCATATTTGTGAGACAGAGAGATAGACAGAGAAAGCAATATATGGTTTTTTTAATCTGGCTTTATTTATGGTGAGACTTAGAGAAAAGGGTTAGTTTATACTTTTTCAGTTATGTCTGTAGTGTTTTAAGAGGATTATTGTCTTGCCTTAGTATGAGGCTCTGTATATTTGTGTGAGAAGGTACTTTATCGTCATTGACTGCTATTGTTTAAAGAAAGGTTTTAGGGAATGAATCATTTTAGGCTTAGCAACTGAGATAACTCTTACCTTTAGGTGTCATAGTTACAGTTTACTTACAGATGGATTTTTTTCTTTGGTTGAGTTTATCTTTATATGGTGGTTTACAGATACGAATCATAATCATGAAAATTAATGGGTTGTGAACAGGATTTTTTCTTTTATTCTGGAAATTGAACGTAGGACCTTGCACATGCTCTACCACTTCGTTACTCTCCACCTCGGCAGCACTTTTTTTTTTTTTTTTTTTTTGTCTTTTTCGTTTTTATCAGTACCGGGGATCGAACTCACGACTGCCTGCTTTACAAGGCAGGCGCTTATGCCACTGAGCTAAATCCCCAGCCCCGGCAGCATTTTTAAAAGGAATAAAAATAGCAGTATATTTTACACTGCTTTGAAAGTAAATATTGGGGTATGATGACATACATCTGTAATCCCAGCAGTATGGGAGGCTGAGGCAAGGGAATTGCAAATTCAAGGCTAGCATGGGCAACTTAGTGTCTTTAGTGAGAAAAAAAAGAGAAAGAAAAAACGTAAAAGGGCTGGATATGTAGCTCAGTACATAGGCCTCATTTACTCTCCAGTACCACACTTACACACATACAAAAGTGAATATTGGCTTTGTAGAACTTTTATTTCAGTTACAGGTATGTATTGATATTTCTTATTGTAGATCACAGTGAAAAAAATCTGAAAGTATTTGTTGTATATTAAGTTAAGTGATAAAATAAGATTTGTAAAGTTAATTGATAGAATAGGAGAATTTTAAGTATGTTTCTAGCTAGATATAGTGGCCCAACACCTGTAATCCCAGGACTCGGGAGTCAGAAGGATTGCTGTGAGTTAGAGGCCAACCTAAATGACACAGTGAGTTCAAAGCCAGCCTGAATTGCATAGTGAAACCTTGTTTCAAAAAATAAATAAAGTATGTTTCTACTTGGAATGCTAAGGAATTCTGTTTTCTAGAAAGAGCACTAACAAAGCAATTGTTATAGAATGAAAAAGAGATGGAGAAATTTTGAAATTTATAGGTTAGACCTTATTTTAGACATTTATTTTAGGATTTAGACATTTATTAATCCCATGCCTGTACTCTCAATAATTAGAATAAATGAGGCAGGATTGTGAATTTGAGGCCAGCCTGGGATACACAAGTCGAAGTGAGACTTGTCTTGGACTCTGTGATAAAAAGATTAATATTACATCTTGTTACATGTAATTTTTGTTTTTATGTTCTAGGAGATTCAGGTGTTTGGGGATTGAAAAAAAATTTTGCTTTATTGGAGCTTTTAGAACGACTGCAAAATGGACATATTGGTCAGTATGGAGCTGCAGAAGAAGCCATTGGTGTATCTGGAGAGGTATTGATTGAACTTGGTAAAATGTTTGTTACAAGATGTTACAAGATAACTTTCCCTCAGTTTAAAATATTTTCTATTATTAACACAATAGTACTTTACTTACTTTAGCAGATAAATTTCTGGAAACACTGCTTTTTATTACATTATACTTAAGGCTATACTCCACCCAGCATAACAAAAGTAGAACTGAAACTTGAATTATTTGAAAGTACTACTCCTAAGCTATGTTTTATGTGTAAAATTTCCTACTTATTTTCAATTGTACCCAAGGGTAGAGTGAATAATAGGATTAGAATAGCAAAAAATGTGTAAGTTGCATTACAGTGGTGCAAATGTGTATTAGTCAACAGTGAAGTACAATACTAACAATAAAAAACTGCATGAAAGAGACCGTTCCCCATAGATGGAAACTGTCTTAAAGACAGTAGTAGCTTAGTTATAAATACATTTTTGTTCTTAAATAGAACTCATGGGAGGTCATGAATCTGTGTTAGGCCCAACAGAGTAAGCCTATATTGAATATAGTCACAGTTTGTTTAATCAGTTTCTAAACAGTGGTTGGTTGCCCATAGACAATTGATTGGTTGACTGACTAAGCTGTACCCAGTGAAGTTATTTTCTCTATCTTGCTTCAACTTTTTAAAATAAATCTTACCTGACCACATTGTTGATTGAAGTTCTTTGAAACTGTTCTGGGAGATGCCTAGCTTGCAAATCATTTTTTCTTTGCATTGGTTTGTTTTTCTTTGCTCAAATATATTCCACTTGACAAAACTGGTTTAAGAAATATTCTGTTTTAGCATATATAAATCTAAGATTATGCGGTTTTACATTTCAAAATTTGCTGTCATTGACTGGATTCAGTTTTAAGCCATTAATTTTTTGTTTGTTAGAGTATCATTCGTTGTGATGAAGATGAAGCTCATGTTGCATCTGTATATTGTACTGTGTGTGCAACTCACTTGTGCTCAGAGTGTTCTCAAGTTACTCATTCTACAAAGACATTAGCAAAGCACAGGCGAGTGCCTCTAGCTGATAAACCTCATGAGAAAACCATGTGCTCTCAGCACCAAGTACATGCCATTGAATTTGTTTGCTTGGAAGAAGGTTGTCAGACCTGCCCACTCATGTGCTGTGTCTGCAAAGAATATGGAAAACATCAAGGTCATAAGGTATGAATTTTGTTAAGTTGGATGACTCTAGATAGTTTACTAGCCTATTAATTCATTTTCCCTGACCTGGTTCTTTATGCTAAAATGAAGAATTGAAGAATTAAGTGATGTGTGGGTTGGTCTTGGTAGCATGAAAAGAAATCAGATTTCTTTTCTTTCTTTCTTTCTTTCTTTCTTTCTTTTTTTTTTTTTTAAAGAGACAGGGTCTTGCTGTGTAGTTTAGATTGCTCTTAAACTCAGAGCAGTCCTCCTGTCTCAAGTACCTGAATGCTGAAAATGTAGACATGTGCTACCATACCTAACTTGAAAGATTTCTGAATGTCATAAAATTTCAGGCTTTAATGACTCTACTGAAAAATATGTTTGTAAGCAGGTATGGTGGCATATACCTCTAATCCTAATTACCAGAGAACCTCAGGCAGAAAGATTGCAAATTTGAGTCTCCCTGTGCAATTCACTAAGACCTTGTCTCAGAGTAAAATTCTAGAAATAAAAGGGCTAGGGTAGCTTGGTGGTAGAATGCTTGCCTAACATGTTGTTGGTCCTGGTTCAATCCCTAGTACCTCCAAAAGGCCGAGGGGGGTACTTTCTAGTAGGAAACAAAAGCTTTCTTTATGTGCATATTTTCATAATACATAGGATAATTTCATAGTATTTATGTCTACTGATGAACTATTATTGGTATAATTTTATATTATTTTTTCATATGGAAAATTGAACTCAGGACCTTGCATTTGGCAGGCAAATGCTTATGCTGCTGAGTTATACCTCTGGCCTAAGGTATGATTTTCTTGTCTGATGAATGAACTTCCAAATTTTAAATTATTTCTTTGTAATATAGTTCTCTTGCAAAGAAGTAAAAGTGTTTTTACCTTCTTATGCTGTGCTTTTTAAAAAAGTGTTATAAAAGCCAGCTGTGGCTGATATTTGTTATATTAGGAAGCAGAATTTAAAGCAGTTTTTATATCTTTAGTCAATATTGTGAATTCTATAATTATGTTGTATTTTATAGCATTCAGTATTGGAACCAGAAGCTAACCAGATCCGAGCATCGATTTTAGATATGGCTCACTGCATACGGACCTTCACTGAGGAAATCTCAGATTATTCTAGAAAATTAATTGGAATCGTTCAGCATATTGAAGGAGGAGAACAAATAGTAGAAGATGGAATTGGAATGGCTCACACGGAACATGTATGGATTTTTTTTCTTCTTTTTAAATCTTATCTTTTTTTATTCTCACCTTTTCACCTTCTAGTAAGTATTGCACAATTACAGTGTGCTGATACTGCACTAGTGACTATTTTAAAAGTATGGTTTTCATGGAAGTTGTAAATCCATTATGAAAAGGAGGCAGTGTGTTAGTGTGAAAACTTTTGTGTGGTGGGTAGGGAAGTGTGCAGTGCATATAAAAGGGGTAATAACTTGTATGAGTCAGAGAAGGCTTCTTGGAAGAAGGCATGTCTAATTGGGGATTTGAAGGAGTTTAATCAGGGAGAAGAGTGTGATGAGTGAGCTGTTCTAGAAAGGGTAGACATGTTAAAATGCTGAAAAGTGAGGATTGGACTTACTGAAGACACTTAAAATTCACTCAGCCTCTCAAAACTCTATGGCAAGAAGGTTGGAGGTTGGAGAGTTAAAGGCTAAATCATGAAGATCTTTTTGGTTATGTTAAGACTATGGAACCTCTTTTAGTGCAGTGATGAGCCATTCAAGAATGGATGTAAGAGTGACATAATCAGATTTGCATTTAAAAGATTGCTTTTAAATACAGAAAAAGAATTTGAAGAACAAGATATTGAAGGCAAGAAGATCTATTAAGGCATTGTTAAAAGTTTCTAAATCTGAAATGTTAATGGCCTGTACCACTAGAGTAGTAAGAATGGAGAGTAAGATGGATTTGTAGGTCTTAGCGATTGGTTGTTGATATTAATTGTCAGGTAACTTGGAGGGTCAGACAGACCAGTTAGAAGCTATTATATCAAGTATGATTGAAAAATACAATGAATGTTTATATAAAAAAATTGCCACGGTAAAATACACATTAACATTAATCACTTTTAGAATGCTTTCTCTTGCCTAAGATACACTTATTCTTTCCACTTTCTGAAACAGTTCTGGAAGTTCTCTTTTGTGACTGTCTTTAGTTGTGCTGTTGTGACTACCTTAATATACTGAGTTGATTCAAAACATTTGCCTTTCATGATCATTTTGACTTTGTGATAGAGCCGGAAATTGCACAGTACCAGATTCATTGAATAAGGAAGATGACGATATACCATAATGTTCTGTGTTTCTGTGGATGGCACTTAGTAGCAGCATTCATAGTGTTTTTGATCAGCCCAAGTAAAGACACAAAAGAACACTTGTAGAATTACTTCAGAAAGTAGCAAAAATGATGGAATAAATGTTTTTGAACTGAGGGAGGTATTCTGATGGGGCTAATGGCAGTGTGTCTTTTAATGTAATATATAAAAATTTAAACATTCAATGTGTATTTTGCTCATATCTTATAATAACAAAGTGAGAGATGATAATACTTGGCACAAAGTTGTTTGAATTGAAGTTGGTAAACCCTGAGCAGATTCTGGATACATTTTGCAGTCAGGAGAAATTTGCAGAAGGACTAGTTGTGGTATGTGAAAGAGATGTTAAGGATGACTCCCTATTTTTTCTTTTTGGCTTCAACAACCTGGAGGATGGAATTACCATTTACTGAGATGGAGGTAACTAGGTGTGGGGGTCGGGAAGATTGGAGATTAGGTATTGCATTTTGCTTGAGATGTCATTTATAAACAGTTGGACATTCAGTCTGTAGTTGAAGGAAAAGCTCTACTGTAGAGGTTTAAGTTTTGAAATTTGTAAAGGTATAGATGCATAAAATATTTGTTTAGGTTACATGTGTGTGTTTTCTTAGGTACCAGGTACTGCAGAGAATGCACGATCATGTGTCCGAGCTTATTTTTCTGATCTGCATGAAACTCTGTGTCGTCAAGAAGAAATGGCTTTAAGTGTTGTTGATGCTCATGTTCGTGAAAAACTGATTTGGCTCAGGCAGCAACAAGAAGATATGACTATTTTGTTGTCTCAAGTTTCAACTGCTTGCCTCCATTGTGAAAAAACTTTGCAGCAGGTAAATGGTTTAAATATGGCTATAGCCATAGTTGTAAGGTTAGTTACCAGAGATATACACTATTCTTTTTTCTTTTTTTGAGACAGAGTCTTGCTGTGTAGTGCAGGCTGACCTTGAAATCGCTCATGAAGCCCAGGCTGGTTTCAAACTCATGGTGATCCTCTTGCCTCAGCCTCTGGAGTGCTGGGATTACAGGTGTGCACCACCAGGCTCAGCAGATGTACACTATTCTATTTTATTAATTCAGTGATTATTTGAGCTCTTCTGCATGCATTGATATTATTTTTAGGACATGGTCTGTAATTACAAATTACTGCATTAACCATCTCAATGTCCTGTTCTTCATTTGCCACCTCCATCATAAGCTATTGATTCTAGGAACACTCCAAATTCTTGTCCTCTTCAGTCATACCAAGCTTTATTACTGTTCTTTGCCAAGTATATGCTGTTGTTTCTGCTTAGAGTGTCTGTCTTTTCTGTTAGTAGAAATCTTCCTTTGCCTTCAGTGTTTAGTTAAAATGTTTGCTAATCTTCAGAGCTTTCTCTTCCTTAGTCCTTTTTTTTTTCCCGCTTTTTAGCAAATACTCCCTGCCTCTCTTCTAATTTGATATTTCTTCAGTATTATAGAAAACCCATATTTTGTGGAGGTTGAGGTATTTGTTACCCAATTTGTGAATGATTTGTTTTTTAAACAAATGATAAAATCCTCATTTTGTATCTGCTTTCATAAATGGGGGACATAAGGGTAACTAATGCTGTAGGAATTTTAGAATAGCTGCCATCTACCTTATTTTTATTGGTACACTGCTAATTATTATGTTGATTTCAAGTTATGGTAAGCTAAACCTTTTACTCCTATAATGCCTTTTCTCTGAAATACCTGATTGTACTTACAAGAGTGTGGCCAATTTGTAATCTCATCATTCTTGAGTTGTTTGGTGTTTAGTCCTATTCCATTGAATTATAGCAGTTGATGTGTATGCAGCTTAGTAAGTTGACTGTCAGCTACAGTCCTTTTCTTTTATCATCTGCTTTGTGATTGGGGGTAGAACTCTCTAAACCACTTATCTGTGTAGGCAGCTTGCTTCCCTTTAGGTGCAGTCCATAGGAGCCACTAGAAGGAAGTTGGAAGGCAGGAGGCAGCAAGCTTCCTGTGAATTCCAGTGTTCTTGGGGTTTCAGTGAATGTTACTGCTTACAGAGAGGGGACAGTTTCTCAGAGGTCTGAATTTTAGCTCTAAGCATCCATGATGCTACACTTTACATTGTCTAGTTAATAATTACACCTACTTGGATTATCTGATTTTGGTGGGTTTTTTTTTTTTTTTGAGATCGGATCTTGTGTAGTTTAGGCTGGACTTCAACTCAACATATAGCCCTGGCTCGCTCAAACTTGGGGCAGTCCTGCCTCAACCCCTAAGTGTTGGGGTTACAAGTGTGTGCTACCAAAGCCATCTATATTAAGTTCTTTATGTTCAAGTAACTGGATTATTTATGTCTTCTGATTTGACCTTGAATGATACAGCATGCATTTTTGCCCCTGAAGTGGTCTGTGTGTATCTTGTTCATCTTCATATCTTTAAACTCTTTATATATGGATAGAATTTATTAAATACTTGTTCAACTCATGATGGGTGATCACGCTACACAGCAATTTCAGAATAGAATAATGACTTAACTCATATTTATTTGATTATTTGAGTATTTTCATATTTATGAAATACTTAAATTTTTTTTTAGTTTCTGAAGTAGTCTGTCAAAATAACTGGTTATTTTCAGCACTATATTACTCCATTGTGTTAATGTACCTAAAACTGAGGATTGGATTCCTTTTTTAATGCGGAAACCCTAGTTTTTTTTTTTTTAATTTTATTTAAAAGGAAAAAGAGAAAAAACAAAAGAAGACAAAGCGGTGTAAGGGTATAAGTAATACAGAACTACAAAAAAAAAAAAGTAAGAAATCACCAGTTAATAGATTACATATTATCATCTTAGAGATAGTTGCTCAAGTCACAGTATCAAAGCATACAAAGTGGACATTCAAACAGTGAGACTGCAAACAGTTATATTCAATGATCCAACCAAAAACATTAATATGGTCAGCTATTTAACACCCCTAAACACACTTGCTGTTGTATCCTTTAGAGCTCTTTTTTTCCCTCTCTTTTTTACAACAAAATTTATACATTTTGGGTTTTATTACTCCTTAGTTCTTATTACTTTTTTGGCGGGGGGGGGAGAGAATAAAGTCAAATATGGCAAAACAAAGCTGTCAGTGAAAACTAAAGATAGACATAGCACATGATATAAAAACAGAGTACAAGGTTATCAACAATGGTTACCATAATGTCTCTTGCTTCCTTAAAGAATTGTCTATCTCATTAGGTATTATAAAGTTGATCAAAACAGTAGAGAACAAGACCGATAAAACTTAAGCATTATAAACATTACAGGACTTCCAAAGGAGACAATAGTCAAACCAGAATGGGCATCTTAGTGAATCTTACTGCCTTCAAAGTAGTTGCCTATACCCTCAAACTTGATACTATCATACAGAATGGAACAGAGTCTAATCAGTCAAAACAAGATAGTGCGAGTATTATAGGACTTCAAAACAAGTTAATAGGAAATCAAAAAAACTTATTATTATATATCCTGCTAATTTTTAAAATTTTTCCCCTTAATTAAAAAAACCATAAAAAATAACTAAATAATTTTTTTAATGAATAAGGGAGAGATTGAGATAAAAGAGGACATACCAATATAACAATACAGGTCAAAGCATGACTGTTTCAGCAACCTAGTGCTTCACCACCAAATAACCCGACTTAATAGTAGTTACTATAGTGTCTGTCTTTTTCTTTGAAATATTTGAATAAAACTTCATATACTATAGCTTCAAATATTTCCATATCAAGAAGCCCAGAATAAAGCCTTTCCAATTAATAAGTAAAAAATTTATAAGGCTTCAAGGCCACATAATAGGGAATCATGATTGCCACATATTTTTATATATTTGAATCATTACTTACATTAGGGAAACTATTCAGTATTCACACATGCGAGATTGATTTATTTCACTTATGAGTATGGTCTCAAGCTGCGCCCATTTATTGATAAATATGTCAGTGTCAAAGAACAGCTGAAGAACTTCATGAACACCAAACCAACCCTGCAAAAAATATTGAAAGACAGTTTAGATACACAAAGGAAAAAACCACTAAGCAAAGCAAATAATTAAACAGAACCGAAAGATAAAGATGCAACAGCAGAGAGATAACATTCCTACAATTAACCAGCATTTAACAGTAATAACCATTAATGTAAATGGTCTCAATGCACCAATCAAAAGAAACAGACTAGCAGAATGGATCAAGAAACAAAATCCAACCATATGCTGTTTACAGGAAACCCATCTAACCCAGAAAGATACTCACAGACTGAAAGTCAAAGGATGGAAAACAATCCTTCATGCAGCAGGAATCCAAAAAAAGGCAGGAGTAGCCATTCTGTTTGCAGACAACGTGAACTTTAAACCAACAATGACCATAAAGGACAAAGAAGGTCACTACATACTCGTAAGGGGAAAACTCCAAGAGGAAGAGATAACTATCTTAAATATATACGCACCAAACTCCAGAGCACCCAGTTATATAAAACAATTATTAACAGAAATGAAAACTCAAATTATCAGTAACACAATTGTAACAGGAGACCTTAATACACCACTGACACCAAGGGACAGATCAACCAGACAGAAAATGAGCAAAGAAATAACAGAACTGAATCACACCTGTGAACAAATGGGTTTGATAGACATATACAGAATGTTCCACCCAACAACATCAGAATACACATTCTTCTCAGCAGTACATGGATCATTTTCTAAAATAGACCATATATTAGCTCACAGAACATATTTAAGCAAATGCAAAAGAGTTGAAATCATCCCTTGCATATTATCGGATCATAGCGCTCTGAAATTAGAAATTAATGACAAAGGATACTGCAAAAATTCCGCAAACACATGGAAACTAAATAACACACTCTTGAGTAATCAGTGGGTCACAGAAGAAATTAAAGAAGAAATTAAACAATACCTAAAAGAAAATGAAAATGCAGATACAACTTACCGGAATCTGTGGGATGCAATGAAAGCCGTTCTGAGAGGAAAATTTATTGCACTGAGTTCCCACATCAGGAAAACAGAACGAATACAAGTAAATAACTTGATGCTACACCTCAAACAGCTAGAAAAAGAAGAGCAAGTCAAGCCCAAAGCCAAAAGAAGAGAGGAAATTATAAGAATCAGAGCAGAAATCAATGCAATAGAGACTAAGAAAACAATCCAAAGAATCAACGAATCAAAGAGTTGGTTCTTTGAAAGAATAAATAAAATCGATAAGCCCCTAGCCAACCTTATTAAAAAAAGGAAAGAAAAAGCTCAAATTCATGCAATAAGAAATGAAAAAGGAGAAATCACTACAGACCCAATAGAAATACAGAGGATCATCAACACCTATTTCGAAAACCTCTACTCTCAAAAGTTTGATAACACAGAAGAAATAGACAGATTCTTAGAAGCATATGAAGTACCAAAGCTAGATCAAGAGGATATAAAACTGTTGAATAACCCAATCTCTGCTAATGAAATTGAGAATGTAATTGGGTCCTTGCCCACCAAGAAGAGCCCAGGCCCAGATGGATTCACTGCAGAATTCTACAAGAAATATAAAGAAGACCTAATGCCGACACTCCTCAAACTATTCAATGAAATTGAAAGGGAAGCAATCCTTCCTAAGTCATTCCTGGAAGCAAATATTACTCTAGTACCAAAACCTGAGAAAGACCCAACTATAAAAGAGAACTATAGACCGATCTCCCTAATGAACACAGATGCAAAAATCCTCAATAAAATATTGGCAAATAGGATCCAGCAAATCATCAAGAAGATTATACACCATGACCAGGTGGGATTCATCCCAGGAATGCAAGGATGGT